TTGATGCACACTACAGGAAGGTGCAGATGAATTTGTACTGTATGTTCGTGTAGTAATCCAGTAGAACAGATATCTGAAATGTGCAGAGCCCCCCCCCGGCAGCCCCCCACCCACTTCTCTTCGTCTCATTGTTTTTCTTGTGGGCTAGTCTTCCTGTGCACCTGTGAATCGAGCTTCCTGTGTCTTTCTCTCTGCACTCACACTGTCCCCTAAAACCACTCTGCTCTCGCTCAAGCGTAACTAAAAGCCAGCTAGACAGCAGCACAACACGTATACACACCTGCGGTATCAAAACACAACCATACACACTATATGGTTTCGCCATGTGTGACCTGCCTAATTTTTTATGGAAGAAAATAAATTTTGTGACACAAAATGCTGTTATGCTTTACTTGTACACAGAAAGACAAAAGCCAGGCTTGTTTTGTCTACTGAAACATCATTTTGTGCAAACACAACGTTTAGCTCACAAAAATGCATTTCGTGATTCCCTTTTGTGGATGAAATATTAAATTAATTGACGGAATTATTATTTTGTTCGCAAAATGTAACTACCTAATCAGCAGTATACAAACTGCAATTAGTGACAGCACATCTTTCTTTTGACTTAACACAAGACAAGGTTGTATTTTTGTGATATCAGCCTGCACACCAACACTTAAATCAGAACCAGCAGACAAAGATCAGTTCTATGGACAACTAGAAATGCTTCTCAGGTCATCTCCTGAAGCTGAACGGACAGTCTTGTTGGGCGATATGAACGCCAGAGTTGGGGATGATCATAATATTTTGGGGTGGGGCGAATGAATGAGAATGGTCAACAGTTACTCGAGCTCTGCTGCAGAAACAATCTCTGTATTACTAATACTATTTTTCCTGGGAGATTGCTTGGTGCCACCCAAGATCCCGTTTCAGAGCATGAACAAAAAGAGTTTGTCGTCAGAGAACTGCTGTATGCAGATGCTGCTGCATTATGTGCATCTTCACCAGAGCAGCTGCAGATTCTGCTTGGGATGTTTTTGGGCTCAGCTTGAAAAAACGGTGAGCGAAAAGACACTTGCTGCCAACACAACACACATCATCTTCAGCTTAAAAATGTAGTTCTCGATGATGTGGAAAAGATCACTTATCTTGGATCAACCGTGACAACAAGAACGGCGCCTGAAATGCAACTTACAAACTATGCTATCAAGTCAAGTCAAGTCACCTTGATTTCTATAGCGCTTTATACAATACTGATTGTGTCAAAGCAGCTTTACAGTGTCAAACAGGAAAATAGTTTGTTAATAATGCAAGAAGACAATAACAGAGTCATTTTTCCAGCTAAAGTCAGTAAATGTCCAGTAAATGTCTATGGCTTATTGTCACCCGCGACAGAAGCATGCCATTGTTGTAAGTGTTTTGAAATACAGCATTTTATGTCAAGAAATTAATTTCATGCATGAAATTTAAGCAGGTCACACTAGCATGGTGCTATCAAAACATGCATTTCCCAAAAGCATCGCTAGCCAGTTACAGTATGGTCACAAGGTTTATTGTCACCAACAAAGTTCGTGTTTTCTAAATCCAATATAATGAATAAATAAATAAAAATTAGAAGAAAAAAAAAACTAGCCAATAGCACATCAAAGATAAATATTATACTTTGTGCACAACGTATAGGATTTTAAGGCTTTGAGATTGCTGGAAGAGGACATAGTATCCAAATAACATTTCAAATCTTTACAGAAAATAAAAAATAGAGGTTTGCATTTATGTATAAAAAACTTAGCTAGGAAAATAAATAGATTTCTTAGAAAATACTTGTCTTTTAAATTCTTGTGAGAGTTATAAAAACCAAATAAGACATCTTTAAACACCAAAGTAAAATAGTCTAAGATGGAAACACGTACAAATATACAGAATTTCTTCCAAAAGGTAGCAACATGGACACAGTCCCGAAAAAGATGATGAACACACGCATCTTCCACGCCGCAAAAGGAGCAGGATTGTAATGTGGTGTTTGGGTTTTGTCTTGTTCATGTTTTCATGTCTTTTATTTTGTAATTGTTTCACCCTGTTAGTGTCATGCTTCCCTTGCCCTCATGTATCTCTGCCTTGTGTATGTGTCATGTTCTGATTGGTTGTCCTAGTCATTGTCTTGTTTCCCATTGGTTTGTTCTTGTCTTGTGACCCTCTTGTTTGCTATAAGTAGCCATCATGTTGCCATTGTCTCTGGTCGTGTATTGATGTTGTAACCCTCTGTCGGTGAGTCTAGTCTGTTCATGCCTCATCAAGTCAAGTCTGTGTATCTTGTTTGGATGTTTGGATCACTGTAAATAAAACTGCACTTGGGTTCTCACTTCAACTCGCCTTCAGTGGATGATTCGTTACAAGGATGCATCTCAGGAAACATTTTTTTAAGATAAAGATTGACAGGGTAAAAACAGTGTAATAGACATCTCTTTAACCTTATTAGTAATTAGATATTTATTAGGTAAGGACCACACTTTCTTCCAAGGAATGTCTTCAAAAGAATTACTCCAGTAAGATATTACAGAAGGGACAGTAATTATATCTTTCTGAAAGAGCTGCCTAATCTTTCTATTCCTGGACAAAAAGCAAATCTTCCCTATTGCTGTTTCACAGGCATGTGTCCAAGAAATACAGGAGGTTAAAGAATCAGCTGAGTGCACTTAAATAGTTTACTTGGGACTTAACAGGAATATTGTATAAGAATGGGGCAGAGCAAAACTTTATAGGAAGAAGCTCACATTTATCTAAATTCAAAGATAGACCAGAAGCTTTAGAGAACACATTAATAAGATCAAGAGGAATCTGTAAATAATTTTTTAAAAAACAGGGTAGTGTCGTCAGCTAATTGGCGTATAAGGACATGTTTCTCAGCTGTATTATTCCCTTGTAATTGACTACCACTGCATCGTACTGAGGTAGTAAAGCGGCAAGTGACGTCGTTGTTCGGAAACGCTCTGCTGTTTGTTTGAGCACCCTGATCACAACAAAACTGACTCGACCAATGGTGTGATTTAGGGGGCGGGACCATTGGCTTGCCTGACCAATGGCAGTGGTTGGGAAACTGGTTTGAAAACAGTTATTGTTGTAGTTCTTTTTGGTGCTACTGATGGAGCCAAAATGACTTGTTGTTTTAACCAAATGAACTCAAGCTGATTTAGTCATGTTCCTGAATTAGTCCGTTCATGCAAATATAACTGTCAATGCACATAAAAATCTGCAAAATTCTGAAAGCCAAGCAGAAGCAAACAATACACAGGACAAAACCAGGATCATTAAAAAATATATCTTTAATTGACTTTAAAAAAATGTCCAGATTTGAAATAAAATAGACAAAACAACACAAAATACAATAAAAACGGTTCTGAGACAGAGAGGGAAACAAGAAATTTGAAAAAGTCTATCTCTTCATGCCTCTTTCATTCACAAATCTGACATCATCACAGTTTTGTGGGCAGTTACCTGCTCTATTGCGTTCCCATCAGCACATGAACACACACACACACACACACACACACACACACACACACACAGACACAGACACAGACACAGACACAGACACACACACAGACACACACACACAAACACACACAAACACACGCACACAGACGCACACACACACACATGTTGGTTTTTATGGTTTATGAGGACTCTCCATAGGCGTAATGGTTTTTATACTGTACAAACCGTATTTTCTATTGCCCTACACCAACCCTACCCCTAAACCTACCCCTCACAGGAAACTTTGTGCATTTTTAGATTTTCAAAAAAACTCATTCTGAATTATTTATAAGCCTTTTGAATTACGGGGACACTGAAAATGTCCTCATAAATCACCTTCTCGTTGTAATACCTATGTCATACCCATGTTATTATACAAATTTGTGTCCTCATAAACCACATAAACATGCACACACTCACACACACACACACACACACACACATGCACAAATAGGGGAGAAGCAGATTTTGTCATGATTATATTCGTGACTTACATCTTTACTTGTAGGCAGATAACAATCACACACACACACACACACACACACACACACAACCACAAACTGTTTCTTAGTATTTAGCATTATATAACTTCTTGTCAGATGCCATTCAGAGAAATAATTACTTTGATTACATTCAAGATATCTATACAGCTATACAGTACATTCGGCTGTGCATATAGAAACCTACATGCATACAATATAAT